TTTTTAGAGTGTAATATGTGTTAACAGCACCTATACCTACATTCATAATAAAGCTGAAGAAGGCCACCAAAAAGGAGGAACCAACTGGTATACGTTACATAAAATCTGGGAAATAGAAAAATAAACTTCATTTTCATAGAAAATGCGAATGGAAATGTAGGCTAAACATAAACTATATAATTTTTTTTTTGCATTATGAACATGATTGCAAGACTTTACATTTATAGACTAGAAATGATATAGAAATTTCTCATTTGATTACAACATTTCATACACGCATACATACAGAAACTAAAATCACATCATCTGTTTTCTTTGAAGAAACCTTTGTCCGTTGAACTCTCTTTTATGGTTACAGTCAAAGAGTTACTTGTTACATCAGTAACAACAATTTTCTCCATATTCTTCAAACAAGGCAACCAGGACTGATCGGTTTCGTCTACAAAACTCAGAGACAACTGCTCTCTGGTTTGATCGGTGGATCGAAATAGATTGCTTTTGGGAGGATGTTTCATTTTGGATTGCTTTATGGCACCACTTGGGCTGTCCTTCCGTCGATGTCCCAAAACACCAAGCCCAGCTTTTAAGATGTTGCCACCATGTGTGAATTTTACATCACTTGACCTGCTTCCCATTTGCTTTTTAACGTGGCTGGATTCTGCTTGAAACTTCTGGGTTAAACGGACGACATCACAGTTCGAGGTCTCTCCTGATCTCTCAGTTTTGGAAGGTCGATAAGATAATGGTTCATCTGCCTTTCTTTTAACACCTTCAGTGGATGAACCTCCTGGACGCAACTTTGGCTTTGGTCCTCGCTTTTTTGGTGAGCTGGCAAAATCCAGCGGGCGTTGTACCAGCATCCCATGCATCAGTGGGTCTCTCTCAGAGACCGGTGGATGCACACGAACACTTTCTCCTCTGTTGATGGTGCTCGGTGGAAAAATCGTAGGCACGACTGTCCGCAGTCCCTCACGTGCTCTGGGTGTCACAACCGGTTCGGCTACCGGGAATGACACATGTAAATCTCGAGACATTTCCCGTCTGAACTCACAGTTTTTGCCTTTTGCTTTTGCCTATAAAAAAAATCGAATTCAAAAAATGTAAGCACAGCATCATGATACCATGGTTTCAATGCTTTGAAGTGCAAGAGAATAAGAAAAAAAAGAAATGCACTAAAAAGAAAGCCAAGAAAAAGAAACAACGCTAAGAAAAATCAAACAAGTAAAAAAAAAAATAGTTTTAAGAAATATAAAATACATAGATAATATATCATTCTTTCACCTTCATTAAAAACGTTTCTGGTTTAGGTCCTCTCTTTTTTGGCCCATACATCTCCCTCTCACGCTCTCTGCAATAAAAAAAATTTGAAGAAAATAAGGCTGAGAAAAGCTATTTGAAAACGTCCAAAATATTGAATCTGTCTACTGGGATTACAGAAATAACGAAGAAACGTTCACCTTTCTTCAAAAGCAGCGAAAAGACGCTCATCCAGAATATTCTCCTCTGGTTCCCAGGTGCTGTATCTGCACCAATAATTGCATGTTCAATTATTCGCAAATAATAACGTCCAAAATCATTTTTACAGTTTTCTTTTCACACATTTATTACTAATAGGTGCATTTTTTAATCACTTATTTCAAGAGATTTTGTATTGTGCATGTATAATATTTATTGATACATATATAAAAGGCTACATATTCTTTTTCCCCCAGTATAAACCGCATTAATCCGCTAATAATGCTTTTTGAACGTTGCATCTCGACTGTCTCTCATCACTGGCCTTGTCAGCTAACGTTCACCGGAGCCCCGTTACACAGTCCCCGCTTCAGCCGTGCTAACACTCAGCGAGCTCGGGGAGCCCGAAACCGCTCCTTCCGTTGCAACAACTGCCGTTAGCGTGTCATTACCACTCACTTTTGAGACCAGCCTTTCCATTTGACCAGATACTCCATCCGTCCCTGCGGGTAAAAGCACAGGGAGACTCAAATTAGCAAGCTAACGCTGCTAGGCTAACCTATCGCGTATAACATGTCAGTTGAGCGGGCATAAACAAATAACCAGGCGCCTCTGTAACAGCGCCGAAGCCCCGACGAGCAGGCTGGGATGAGCACTTACTCTCCTTATGCGCCGTTTAATGATGGATTCGGCGGCGAAGACCCGCTCCCCGACGGCTGAGAGCTCCATGTTTACTTCTACCTCGCAGCTATTTTTTTTCCTCTCAGCCCTCTGCCTGAATAATCCTCGATAGCCCATAATAGTCTTTCCGAAGAGACGTCATCACGTTCTAAACTGTTACCATGGCACCGCAGGACGGCGGTACTGTGTGAGTGGAGCTGCGGCTCGGGGAGGAGGAGGCCACCGCAGCTGACTAGACGCGTGGGCACGTAGAAGTGACATTTATGAGTGCTGTTTTGGATACACATATGTAGTGTTTATTTCATATACTAGTCTAGAGTAACTGCAGTCAGGGCTTTTTTTATAAGTGCCGAAAATTTAACGGCGATTTCCCGTGGCGTGCAAATACGGCATTCTTTATAGGTGTTGCTATATATTATGATAAACAGCGTTTTATAAATATATTTATTTATTTGTATTTTATAGGACTGAAAACCTGAAACCTGCTCGAAACGCAGCAAATCTGTGCCTTCCCCTCCACGACATGCCGTCCCAAATTACAGAAAAAAACGTTTAAATTCAATACAAATAACGGAATAAAAACAGAATAAACTACGTAAATACATAACGATTGTGGGTCTGGTCTTAAATCCACTTTATAAATCATAAATCCACAGTTATATCGATAGCCTATATTATTTCGTATCGATATTTTCCGAATCTCCCTGTTTATGCAAGAAAAATCTAGTTAGGATAAGTGTCCATATATTCGGGTTAGCCTACCGGAATGTAATTTTGCAGTATTGTGCAAATCATAGCACTCATTAGCAGTCTTAAACGATTTTAAGATTAATAATTTATTTTCATTAATCATTTATACAATAGGCTATTTAAAAACCAGTAGGCTATATCCGACATTTCTTTCTTTCTTTCTCAAAAAATTATTATAAATAATGAGAATTAGCCTATTTTAAAACAAAACCCCGCTTCGGACAAAAAAAGCATTTTCTTGTGTATAGCCTAGTGTTTTCTTTTTAATGAAGTCAGTCGTTTGACTGTCAAGTCATATTTAAAAAAATTAATGTTTTTTTCTGTATAAAAATGTATATGCAAATATATTTTACTGTCATGTGGAATTGTATCTGTCATGGAAATGATCTGCGATCTGATGTACAGCAACTAATCTTTTATTTGATTTGAAATTCGATTAATTCGATTTTTGTCCGATTCATTCGATGCAACGGATAATAACAAACGTAGGAAATTATCTCGTTTTCATTTACCGCCATGTTTTGTTATTTGTTTCGATTCGATGAATTTAAATTAATCGAGAGAAAAAA